AAAATTAATTATTAATTGTTTTAACAAATAGCATTAAATTGGCCCGACATTTTCTACCATGTTGACTGCTTTTCTTGCGAAGACACAGCATCTGGTTTTTTTATTGTTATTATTTTTATTATTGTATTTTTTATTTTTGGTGATTTTTATGAAACGCAACGAGCTCTAAAAGAGTATCTCTTTCAGAAGCGCCAAAATTAGGAGACCCTTTCTGTTTTGCAGCCATGAGTGAAACAAAATTTTAAAAAGGTCTCGAATTTCGGTTAGAAACAACACAGACATGCAGAACAGAACGAAAAATACAGAGTTGCCGGTTATTGCCTGAMGCTTAGCTAAGAACACGTGAAAAACGGATGGTGCAACTCATTGAAACTTAAGTCGGACTTAAATTTCAAGGTATACTTAGGTAAGGACGTGCTTAGAAGAAGTTTGGTGCAAGTGGGCATAAGTGAGAGTGCCCAGGGCATGATCCAATCGACTATTGCCGTTCGTTCTCGAAGTATCGAGCGCTAGGCGTCCCGAAAACGGTGGAAGCTGCGTTGCCGCTGTGCGCTAAAAATCAAGCCGCAACAATACTAATGCTTAGAGTCTGTCTATTTGTTATCTACTTATGGAAAATTAATCTTTAAAATGTCTCGATCTAGTAAACCAACTACTGGTTTTTGTTCTCTATTAATGCGTGTAATGATAACTGTTGGCATTTTTCATTTTTTTTTTGGAACATTAAATTGTGCATAAAAAGTTTTTGAACATTCATTTTCGAAAACAGTGGCGAAAGTACGTATTTTCCAGCAGGGGATCAAGAAAAATATTTGTTTTCAACAACGGTTAACTTGTTATTTTGTTTCGTGTTAAATTTATTAGCGTTTCGGTAGTAGTAGTAGCAAATACGTCAGGCAGGGAAGACGTATACCATAGCTTTAAATCTCCACCACTGGCACGTCCAATCAATTTGAGTGAGGTGCGAATAAGTAACTATGTATTAATACCGATAATGTGTGTAGAAAAGCTCAAGTTTATGATTTACACGGTTCCTATCAACTGGTAAAAAATTAAAAATAAATAGAGATATGGAGCGAGAGGTCACCACACTCTCTCGAAGGTTAGACGGGGACTGTCAAGAGATCTCGATAACCGAAATAGCAAAGGAAAAAAGTGTTTCTTTTTTCGTGCGGAATGTATAGTTTTTCGTTGCTTCACTTATTTATAAACCCCCGGTATAGCAGTATATGTATAGTGGTAAAGATATTTGTTATTGTCGCTTAAATAAATTGGGTAAATAACTACAACTGCCTTTAAAAGTAAATAAATGCCACATGTGCTGATCATAATCATCACTGTATCATTTTCAATCAAAATTAACTAAATTTTGGCGGGTTTTTAGCTGATGTGTCCGATTCATCAGCACGAACTACCAGAAGTCGCTCGTCTCGAATTGCCAAAACACAATTACCAGAAATTTCAGAAGAAAAAATGGTAGAAGATGTCCCGCTCAGTACAGCGAAGCCCGCGAAAAAGGTTGGGCGAAAGAAAAAATAATAAAATGCAGATGATAGTTCAAGCAGCTTTTTATTTTATATACATTTAATTTCACTTTTTTTCGCAGATTAGTAATTAAGTATACATATTTGAATTTATTAAATTAATTATTGGTTTTAATATTGTTGTTTTATTACTAAAGCAATGGGAAAGTTCGAGCCTTCTTAACAGCACCGAAGAAACAAACGTATGGTTCGTATTTTTAGAAAGAAGCAAACCATGAAGAATTTTCAATATTAGGTCAAGGCTCGAACTTTGTTTAATTTGGGGGGTATAAAGGTAAGTTAGCTAAATTGTGGATACACTTTAATTTATTGGCTATTATTTTCGTAATGTTTTTATTCTTAGAACCAGAACTAAAAAACCTCAAGGTACTGAAATAAAATTACCGCAACTGGTCTTTCAAATTATTTTTTTATATACAGGGTGATTCAAAATTGGCGTCATTCCTTTTAAGGGGTAATAAGGGCTCACTTGGACAGTGCGCGCAAAATATTGAAGAAAAATATTTCAAAAATTTCTAGAAGAAGATTAACAGTTCGAAAATCGAATTTAAACTTTGTTATTAAGCATTATTCTTAAATGGTCCCATGCCTGATTGGTAGCATCTGGAATACTTAACCCTCCAATCAGCAAAATTTGGATCTTTGCTTCAAATTGCGGTTATTACTAATATTAAAGCAGTTCTCTTCTACAATTTTTTGATGAAAAGTCAAATCGGCACTGACGTTTTTGACATTATCAGATACCTAGCTTCTCTCAAAAATAACAAGCATTTGTAAAATTGTGACTGAAGCGTTCACAAAATGTACACCAATATCGAATATGCGGATATGCTATTAATTATGGGGGAATGTCACTTTACCATAACAGAAGATGTAAGAACTTACACCAACAAAGGGCTAGAGACGCTGAAAGATTGCCTCCAGGAAGATAGTGGACAACAATAGATGTTTGGGTTCCAGACACAGAGGAACAGGTAGTGGAGATTATCACAGCAGAGCCTTTCAGGGGTACCAGAGCACAATAACTGACAATTTCCTAAGCACCAAATAAATGCCGAGGAAGGGGTAGATTCCTACCACGTAAGGACAGATTCAACCGATGGATTACTGAACACCGGTACAAAGGGCTATATCGGATTACCGTATTGGGCACATTTTGTTTAGTTTTATTGTTTTATGCCGGGGTAACAAATGATTAAAACCATATTAATGGTTTAACCAGGTGGTCTTGCGAGACTCGCGAGAGTCTTGGTCTTGCAGAACATGGTTTTGGTCTTGAAAACCAAAGGCAACCTTTAAAAACTTGCAAAGGCAAAACTTGCAAGACCAAGACCAGTTTCGCTCATCACTAGACTCGACCCGCTGCGTCTTTAATCGGAACGCACGACTGAGACCGTTTATGTGCAAAGTATATGAACATTAAATTAATAATTTGCGATCAGCCGCAAGTCGCGAGTCGCAGTCGCATCACCGAAACCGTACCTTTACGCTCCATCTATTATCGAACTTCGTTCAACACCAAAAAAGAAAAAACTATCGGTTTGTCAAATGTACGAAATACCTTTTTAAATGAAAATTATTTTTCGTGGCTTAAGCGGACAAATAATTTTTGGGATAAGAAAAATTTACTGATTTCGGCGGGACATGGATTTGACAATTATTTGTTAGCTTAAGCCGCGAAAAATCCCTTTCATTTAGAATTTTCGGACACTAAAAACTCTTCATTTACTTTTTTTAAAGTTAAGTCAAGTATTGTTTCTAAGCAGCAATACAAATACATTTGCAAAGAAAAAAACTAATGTGCATACTTTTTTCGCAAGAATGATGGGCTGTTAGATATTGTAAATATTTTTTTCTTCAGAAACGTCTGACGAAAATTTTACAAGAGGCAAGGAAGTTTCAAAAGAATATTAGTTAGTGGAAAAAAAATTAGATTGTTTGTACAGAAGGTAACAAAAATAACAAACATTTATTAATAAACCAAGCATTAATTCTGATATTTTCATCCATTAAAAGAAGATCAAACTCAACATCAAAATACTGCAATTTATATAGTAATTGATTCCAAAATTAGCGAAAATTGATATGGGCGTTTAGAAATTATTTGGAAGAAACTACATTAGTTAGTAAATTTGCTTAGATCGTCTTATTTTCAGTTAAGGAATTTGTGGTTAAGTAATTAAGAGTTAATGTATGCATGCTGAGACAGGCACTTTTAAGAGTATCATCTCAACTATTAATAATTAAAATAAAGACAAACATTTCCTCTGCATGAATAGTGGCGGATCCAGCTTTCAAGTCAGGGGGGGTTATATAGTAGAAATTCAGTCTTCTGTTGTCTATGAAATCAGAAAAATTATCGTTAGTCGACATAAATCCTGCTAAGGGGGGGGGGGTCATGACACCCCCTGGAACCGCCCTTCGGCATGAATGATCGGGAAAAGAAATTATGTAAGAAAGATGGGCAAATTTCGAGGCTCACCAACCTCAGGTACCACCAGGTTGCAAAATTTGTACTCAACCCCCTGAGTTCAACCTTACTTTCAACTATATATGATATTTTCGTAATATTTTACATTAAATTCGCTCTTAACGTCTTGGAGATTAAAATTGTACGACCCTGTATATGTTACTAATAATTGGTACTTAACAGATCATCATAATTAGCAGCAAACAAATTTGCAAAATAAAAAAATTTCTGAGATATTTTCCCAGCTAACAAAAACATTTCACTTCTGGCAATTACCTCGAACTGGTAAATCCCTTTAATAGAATGAGTAATGCTTTTGTCGTCGACTTCTTGGCAAATCGCAAGTTAAGTTAAAATTAACGTTTCAGCAAATGGGAAAGACCAGTTTAATGATGTACCGTTATACTTTAGGTTAATATTTCTCAGATCATCAATACGTAGCCGTTGACTCGCCAGTCCCAGTTGTATCTGCGAGCCCGTGTTTTCACTTGCTCCCAGACAAAGCGATCTGTTGGCCAACAGTTAGTTTAACAACATTTATCTCATTTCTAAATATAGTTCGTTTTTTTATTATTATTAAAGCGTGTGATTTGTGGTATTCCTAAAGTGATTTGTGCAATTTTAACTGTGTAGTATATTTTTTCAACGAACATTAAGTGGAGATTTATTTCTCACACGAAAAGTGTATAAATCAGATTTTGCATACAGAACTTATTGGAAAAAAATTGTTGATAGGTAGGTCCATAAATATAGCAATTATTAAGCATATAATGTTAAACAGGTTTTAATATGAACCTAGATTTGTTTCTATATGAACAGCGGTAAGAAGAGGTACGGTTCTTCATAACTTTTGCCAATACTATTAAAACGAAATTAACACGAGAGTAATAAGATATAATAATAGATGATAATGTACTTTGTATGAAACAATAACAGTGTCATTCGCGCTACACGACGAAATACGAAGGTTAAATTGCCTGATTTTTTTGAAATACTGGAATACCACAGACAGACAATGCTCAGATGCTAAAAATGTTTGGAAGTTGAAGGAAAAAACCATGTTTTTTTTTAAATCTAAGGTTCTCCAATTTTTCTGTTTGCCTTTATAAATTAAACATTGCCTGTTATTTAGACGTATCGAAAATTCTTAAAATTTTCTATAATTTGTTCAACAGCACAGCGTGAAAGCTTCTGTTTTTGGGAATATCGAATGGCAAATGTGCCACATGTTCTTTATTACATTCTCCATAAATTATAAATAAGTTTAAATAATTTTCGTATTTTGTATAATTTAAGGGACTGGGCATCATTGTTAATTTTTTTCAAAAGGTAACCGACAGCTGTAAGCATTTCTTTGGCATTTTATTGTATTAAAAATGACCACTTTCGGGTTGGCAACTAAGAGTGATAGAGATTAAAATAAGATGCGACAAAATAGCCATAGAGAAACATTAAATTGACAATATAGTAGACAAAAAGCGTCCAATTTGAAATTGTTTGTAAAATTACAACAATTATAACGTTTTCATGCTCTTTGAAGTGTCCGGTTCAATTCAAACGCCTAATTCTCCAAACTTTTCTCACCTAGCTGTAGGTTTAGATTTTACCCTATTAGTGCTTTCCCACTTTCTGAGTACTTTTCCTTAGCCTGTGTTCTGTGTTGTGTAGGTTTTTGGAATTCAGTTCCAGACGCAGCCATATTCCGAGTTTCTTATATTGATTTCTTCTGAGTTTTTTCTTTCGTTTCTTAGATTTTTGAAGTGATAACTTTTTATGGGATGGTGAAACGATTTTTCTCAGTAACGGCCGCTGCCCCTCCGGCCTCTTCGCGCCTGAGGCTTGGGACGCACATATGCACTTTGAATTCTACATTTTTCTCTTAGTGCGGGTGCATCTGTAGATCTGATAAACTTTTCAAATACAAATTGCGTTATTAAACTGACGGTGTTTTTGATATATCAATTATTGAGTATGATATTGTTGTGTTGGGTGCAGTTTATTTTATAACGCTGATAACAATAAATCAACAATTTAACAAGGGAGAAGCTGCAGATACTGCAAATACTAAGTAAGGGTGCTCATGTACTATATGCATGTTTGAGTTTCGCGTTCTTTTTAATTTCCAATTAAAGTACACACACAATTATACACACTAAAGCAGTTTAAGTGCAAGAAAATTCGGATCGTGCATAAATTTGCAGAAAAATGTATTACAAAATTTTGAAAATAATGTTCAAGCGACCGGGTATTTATCATTGCAAATGAGATTGCCCGTTGCCGTGTACCGATGATTCGACACACAAAATTGTGCCTAAGATCCATTACAATAAAGTTTTTGAAAAACTGTTTGACCTATTTTATATCGCCTGATTGATTGCGGACGCAAATTCGTATCAAGAAAAGACTAATTAAATTAAATCGTATCGATAGAATCCGGGTACCGATTCCCTATGTCTTACCCTCCGTCTCTAGTCCTGATGATGTCCATTGCATGCATTGTATTGCACGATTAAAAGTTCCGATCATTTCATCGGAGACAATTGTTAAACCAGATGTTGAGCGGATATTCTCTAAAGAAGGCAGGGCCAATTTATGAAAAACGCTCAAGATTAAGTGCAAATCATGTGTCACAACTATTATTAATAACTTTTTATGCAATAATACATATGCTCTATTATTTGCTATTGCGCATCAAAATTGATTTGTTCCCTTCATATACCCTTTGATTCCTTTATGATGAAACATTCTCAATTGAGTTTAATTTTTTTAGTCTTGAATTAGTTCAGTTAGAATTTTTTTTTTAACACGCGCGATGGCTTACATTATGTATACATATAATGTGTCAAGTGTATCCTGTCTCTATAGCTCTTCCTCGTTTTACCGTATATTTTAATCAGATAGAACGTCTTCAAATCATCAAAATTAATTGATTTTTTAGTCCTATTCAGGTACAAGTTGTAGCAGACGTTCATCAACGGCATACACAAAAGCAGTCACAAAAACATGCTACAAAGCGAAAAGTATTAACTAATGCTGAATGCCGAAAACGATTTCGTGCTAAAAAAGAGCATTCAGTAATAGATCAACACAAAGTAGCTTTCATAAAACACGAACTATTGCTGAACGTCAAAGATTATACAAAGCAAATAAGAAATTACGACAAAAAAAATACAGAAACTCAAGAAGAAGAGTTTACAGAAACCCAAGAAGAGCAACATGTACAACTTCTCGTTGAAGAATATTAAATGTTGCAAATAAAAGGGATATTTTACATTCAAAAGGAAATTAAATTACATTTTACCTATTCCTGATCTATTTATAAATTATTAGACTAACAAGAATATTAAAATTATAAAATAAAATCATTATTGCCATCATGCGTTAAACCAGTTCGATATTTCATGGTTTCTATAAATATATGAAGTTATCACTTTTGTCGAGCGTCCCGTGACGCACAATTTTTAAAAAATTATATTCTTGGTTCCATAGATTTAGTATTTAGTTTTAGTTTAGGTTAGTTGAACATACCTCAGATGCTTTGATCTGAAGTATTTACGCAGCAATCTTTCTAATTTGATTAGGTAGTTTGGATGTAAAAACATGTGTATTTGAGTCGTTGGTTTCGAATTTATTTGTTGAAGTGATTTGCATTTAGATGTAAGCCAAAAATATTTTTTTTTCTGGTTTATGCAATATACAGGATGTCCCGTGACAAACCATAGCTTAAAGCGTTTAGTCTCAATTTTCGCATAAATGAGATTTAGATGCAAGGAGATACCGCCAATATTGGTTTTAAGAGAGCATGCAAGAGAGTAAAGATCAAGCTGAAAAGACTAATTTAATGTTTTATTACCAACGCAAGTTTAACGTTTTGGTTCAAAATGTTTTTCCGCTGCCTCACACCACATTCGTCCCTTGAAATATTCCCCACCTTAACAATTTAGTTCTGCAGAATAACGTGCATTCATTTTCAACTTCAAATTGACTACGTTATTCGCTTTTATGGTCAAACAGAAGGTAATATCTACCCACTCTTTCCTAAAGCCCCCTGGTCACGGAACACCCTGCATATGTCTACATTATCCAATATGTTAAGAAAATTGGGCAACTTTGGGTATTTTAAAATGGTTTTATTTTGATTTATAAATTAGGAGAACTTTGATCATGTTGATGAGACCTGTAGCTGCTCGAAATAGAAGCCGAACGCCATCTCCATCTAAGCCATTGTTGAACAACAGATACAAACCAGGTGCTCCATTGACAAATACCGAAACCGATGATGAAATTGATGATCGTGAAGTGGTAAATAAACCGTATCCTGGAGTAGATGATGGGTTTTTCACCAATGATCAAAATGGAGGTAAAAACAACATAATATCTTCGTACAGATAAGTTAATTTGATTATGGCATGCATTCCCATGCAATAATTAGAGAATCGATTTGATTTCCTACTATGTTATTTGCATACCAAATTGTTTTAGCCTAAGGTAAGGATAAATATCTCCATCGTTAATAGTATAGATATTTGTATTCAGGCAGCGTCAGGTACGACTGAACTGCGTACTATTTCAAATTTGTATTGCTATTTAAATTTAAACAATTGTTTATTCAACTTCTAAGCGGATGTATGGAGATATTTCTCTTGCAAGCTTTGCTAATTTGATCGCGTATTAAACACCTGGCTGATACAGAGCGAGCGTAGAGAAACCAGTAAGGCCAGTAAATTTTCCACAGTATTGCGTGCGATGAAAGACCCATCTTTGGGAAGGCAAAGAAGCAAACAGTAACATTAATATTTTCGAGATACTTACGCTGTTTTGAAACATCAAGAAAATCGAGCGCATCAAAAATTTTGATAGTGCGTTTACGATTAAAAAACACTTTCTTTCAACATACACACATACTTCATTGTATTGATCGATACTGAATTTCGTTAATTTCCTGCGTTGCTCTGAAATAGTTTTGTTTCGGTTCCACTGAATATCTGAAGTGTCTTACTTGCTCAATGTTCTGTCTATTTATACTTATCGGAATTTTTTTCATGTTTATGTATACCCCATCTTTTCACACCGCATCTTCGTCCAGACTCGTACACTCTATTCAGCAGCATCGGCAAGTCATCCAGAGATTCTGCAATGACGCCGGTGTCATCTGCGTAATATTGTTTATTTAGCCTCCCATCTTGGCTCCCTCCGTGCAACCATATAAAGCCTCATAAAATATGTTTTCCGAGTGAAGGTTGAATAACATGGGCGACAAAACACACCCATGTTTTTACAGGTTTACAGGCGTAGTATATTGAACCAAAAATACATTTAAACTTGTTAATGTATTCGTTTTCGATTATTATTTGAATTAAAGTTATAAGTATCATTTCATTCTCATAATACCTACAATTATGGGGAAAAAACTTTCAACAGGTACAGTTGGTGGCGCATAAAAGTAGACGACTCTTAAAACCGATTTTCCCGATTTTGGTAAATCAGGCTTTGTGAAATACGTCAAATATATGTACAATGTATGTCACAAACTTGTTTCAATTTGAAGATTAGTGTCATTTTGATAATATGAAAATTTATTCGCCAGTATTATGTCATTTATACAAAGGTAGATCCAGGTAGAAAGTCAGATTTACACAACAATTTAATCGTCTACTTTTTAATTTCACAACTTATATACATTTTCGTTATATTCTTTACAAAGGAATTGGTAATGTCTACTCTTTCAAATTGTTTAAATGTTGCCTTTTTATTCGTTATGAGACATCTTTCGTATTTTTAGTAATAACCACAAAACAGATGAGATTCAATGCGGTATGGGTGTTTGGCTCATTCCTTTTTATGCTCGCTGTATATTAGGTAATTAATTCTTTTGTAGGTCCGAATGTTAATTTCCCTAGTGAAAGCGCTGGGGATCCTGATGTTGAATTGATACCTACAAAGCCGAAAGAACCGGAAGATATTGATCGTAATATACCGAGCCTAATACCAAGGTAATGTTTCTACTTACATGATGACTATCAGTTCATTCTTAACTAACACATTATTACACTTTTCTGTTACTGTTGCTTTTCGGAATAGCTGACGAGTTTTTTAAATTATATTTTAAATGGTAGAAGAAGTTCGGCGTCTTTATTGAACAAGACCACGCATTGCAAGCGGAACGGAATCAAATTGGTTTCAAGTTCAGTAAAATTTCAAGTTCTCCGATGTCACACATCACGTTCCGCTTGCAATACTAGAAACAAAATCAAAAGACTAATTCCTTGTTATAGTTTTAGGTGCTACTTGATTCTATTCACCCTTGTTTTTTTTTAATTTGTGTGTTTGTTGTTATACTGCACCGCTGTTTGTGAGCATAGTTGACTTGCTCCAATGACTTTTCTGTTTGCATCTTGTTCTTTTCTTCTTAAATATGCTAAATCAAATATTATTAGTACTTAATAATATAATTTACAAAATCTCCACTTAAAATGTACGTGCTATTATTATTATTATGGTAGAAAGTAATCATTTCATTTTTGGCCAGCTTGAATCCTGTACACACAACCTAAAAGTTCGATAACGTTTTGAGAGATTCAACTTTAGATTTACCGAATCAACATAATGTAATTTAAATTCTGCTAGAGTCAATGAACAGCAAAATGTTAAAATTTTCTTTTTATTCTTGCTAGTCGAAGCATTACGCTGCTTCAGCTTGGAAATTAACTTTAGGTGATACATTTAACGTATTTCACGCTAAGATCGCAAAATTTTTGAGACATGTGAAAAAAAAAAGCAAGAGATTTTGTAAATGAGCAAAATTATTCCCAAAAATAGAAACGAATGTGAATTTTGGAAAATTCTCCTTTAAGTAATCCACATATTAATTATCCGAACTAACATTAAAACGACGTTATTTTGGAAGCATCTAACTGAATAACCATGGCAAATTGAAAATTGTATAACAAGTTTGTCTTAAAAATACACCAGAAATTTGCTTATTGAGTGGGGTTTTAGTTTGTATATGCAATATTTTTTTCTTCAATGCATCTTTCTTTAGGAACTTTTTATTTTTTCAAATTTAAACCAAAACAATTGTAATAAATAACGCCTAAATCTTGCCCGTTAATTCCAAAAAGCTTTTTTTTTAATTGCAATAAGAGAATAATATTCTTCAATCAAAAAGTTTTCACAAACTGTTTGTTGGGTATTTCAGCCTCAAAAATGTTTGTCTTTAAAAAAGTTATATTTAAAAACATTTAAAATTTCGTAAAAATGATGGTTGAAAATCGAAAATGTTAAACCAAAGTAGCAAAATTAAAAAAAATGAATGATTCAAAATTATGGAAATTTAACTCGTAAAGTTTGAAAGGTTATTTATAACCATTTGTGTTTTTAGTCCATGTTGTGGTGAAAATTAAGCACCTCATATATATTTTCTAAAGGAGGGCAAATAAAAAAATGTGAAATATTGCGAAGCTCGACATCCTCCTGGTTGGACAAAACTGACTTTTTGGATTTCAAAACCAAAAGTTTAAAGTTAAACCAAAACTCGAAACGGTTTTTTAATTTTTCGCCCATTTCTTATATTTACAGGGTGGTCTCAAAAAATAAACTTTTTGGTCTTGCCGTGATAACTTTTCTGTTCTTGGTCTGGTCCGATTTTTACGATCTAACGCTCATTTTGAAGCTAAACATAAACAATTTAAGACAAAAATGTATACGGGATTGCATTAAAAATGACCCAAGTCAGAATTGACCCCGAAATCTGTGATTCTAGTAGACTTCAACTTCAACTACAGTGAAGTTCACTTACAAATATTTCGTTCAATATTGATTTTTTTCATTAGTCGACTGCGACGTCTCAGCTTCAAGAGGTTTAGCTTTTGTTAATCGGTTCAAAAGAAACAAATTAGTTTCAGTTTTTTTTAGTTAAAAAAGTTGTCACCAACATGTTGATTTTTTAAGATTGTTCACTCTGTAACTAAACGAGATGAGCCAAAAATTCAAAAACTTTTAGCGAGATATGAGGTTCATTTTAATAGCTGTGGGGTTGAAATGCAAAAAAACTGTGCAAACACCGTCCTGTACAAACTTTATTGGAAGAAAACCTTCAATTTTTTTTAAAACACGCGCTAACCGAAAATGAGTTGCATAAATAATGCTTCAAACCAAAATAAAATCTCTACGCAGCCAGGATTTAAACAGTTCCAAAATTAATCGAAATTTGTTCGTGTAACGTCTATTTTGTCGATCAGTTTAGTTTGACCTTTGAGGTAATTATTTACTTTAGGCTGGGTCCTGATGGAGGCAACGTCAATCCAAATGACGCCAATCCTCCAGAAGAAGATCCCAAAGCTTTTCCGCCAGCACAACCCGAATTTCCTCAAAGTCCAGGATTCCGCCCATGGGGATTTGATGTGGAACTTGGAGGTACCGTTTCTAATGAGAGATTGCTTTGAAAATAACTCCTTATTTATTAATTTTTATTTCGCATTAGGCGGGGACAGCATCCCAGATTTGAATGTTTACCAGCACAAGAAAACTCTTGCTCAAGGAATGATGGATTTGGCTTTGTTTTCAGCCAATGCTAACCAGTTAAGATATGTACTGGAAACGTTCAAAACACACCCCTATTATTACCCAAGTGTGTCGTTAATTGGGATTAGTTTACTTTTACAGGTAAGAAGTGACGTAAAAATTACGAATATAATATATTGAGTTGCTGCTGAAGTATTTGTCCTTAGTGGGATAAAGGTGTTTGCAAAAACATGCACTGAAGTAGGACAAAGATTTCCTATACATTTACGGATACTAAAGCATTGCGCCCGAGCTGAATGGTGCAGACCTTGCTAGATGTTTGTAAAATTTTCGTACGCAGATACCAGATTTTTTTGCACAATTAAAAGTTTCTTAAAAACCAATTGTAAATAGTTTCTTCGATTAAAAACTCACTGTTCTGATACTTACATACGAAATAAACATACAAATACAGTGTCCAGTTAAATTTGCCTTCGATAGTTTCTATTTCGTGGTGCTGCTCGGAGTTGATGCGCAAACCAGAGAGTCCAAATACCAGATCTGGACCAATTAAAAAATTTTCCATAAAAATTAGTATTTTCATTAAAATGTATAGTAATTTTTATCGCAAAGGTGCGGGGAATCCAAACAGCCTATAAAATAAGTATCTAGACAAATCCGTACCGAATTCGTAAAACATTTTAAAGCATCTTGCACAATTTTTTTTGTCCTGAATTTTAGAGTTTAACAATATATACACATTTGGAGTTTTTTTATATCTGAAACTATCCATTAAAAATAACTCGAAAATATCGATTTAATGTTGACCAAAATGCCTAAAATTTCGCATAATTTTTATAACATGAAAGAAGGAAATCCAGCAAACTGCTAAAACACTACACCACTCTGAACCAAAATCACAGCACAATAAAAAACATTATTTTATTTATTTTTTCATATTTATTTATACTTGAGGCGCTTTTTTGGGCTAAACAAATTCAATGGGCTCAAAGTAGCAAAAGCGATAAAAGATACTAGTTGCTTGAAAATAATACGATACCAAATAGAATATACTCTTATACTGCGTTTACGAACTTACTAATAACATTAATGTTATGTGAACTTCCATTTTTTTACAAATCCGCTTTTTATTTGGTAAGAAAAAACTTATATTACTTTGTTTTATTTTCAGGTGGCTGTTGGTGTTGGCCTCATTTGGAATGCAACATATAACATCCGGGACGAAAAAGCTTTATGCGTGGCCAACAGGGTGAATAATGTGACGACGATTTGTGTCTTTTTCGTTACTGTCATCAACGTTTTTATATCGGCTTTTGGTGTTGCTCCAGCCCCTTCTTAATTTCCAATGTAATCTCATTCTTTGCATAACTTCTTACTACACGACTACTTCAATTAGTCTTCATTAAAAATTTTCTCAACGCAGATGTGATATTTAGATTGTAATATAGATTATTTTTTTCATTAAAAATATTTACTAATTATATCGTACCTATACTATTAGCATAGCATATCATTATGAACGTTAAATTGGAATAATTATATTTTGGGATTAACTAAACTGTAAAATCTCTCCCATGATAAGTTTTAGCCTCTGCTCACTTTTTAATATTATAAAAGCTAGTTAAAGTGCTTATCATCGTCGCTGCTACGGGAACAACTTAATATTTTTCTATTTACAGTTAGTTAAAACGCTATATTGTTATACCTATTTAAAAACAATAAGTAAATTAAAATTTTTAATGCTATTTATTACTGGGATATTTTATATAATATAATTAAGGACATTTTCGTTTTTTATTGTTTTTATACGAACAGACTGATTTTATAGTTTGTAAACGCAACTTTATGAATCAAGTAATATATTTATTTTGGTAGAAAGTCGTAATTTCTGAGACCACATTTTGTTCATTTCCTTTTTCCCAAAGTGACAGATTACTGATGAACTAGAAGGACTAATTTAGCAGCTTTTAATTTTACAAAATTTTAGGTTTTTTTGTCGTTTGAAAAAGTTTATAAATCACTAAAAAAGCAAGCAAAATTGGGAAGAATTTTAATAGTTTATTAATTATACCTTTGCATTCGTTTAACATTGGGTCATTCTTCCAATACTAATTTCTTTGTTAAACCGATTGATTCTCAATGTTTTTATAATCGTTTTTGGTGTTCTTAAGTCGTTTTTCATATTTCACCTTTTGTATTTTTT